CCCCCCCACGCTCCCCTCCACTGTTGTCTCGGCAACTCTACCAACGTAACGTTGTACCCAGACTGGGGAAGTTCCCGTGTGCAGTGAACTCAGTGAAGAGTTTGTCGTACCTACAGCGTCCTCACTCTCCACAGCCGCCGTTTGGAGGTTCGATCCCCGGTGCAGAGGCGCGCTGATCCCGTCACGGAGCCACAGGCCTCAGCTGGCCGCACGAACGTCTGTGTCAGTGTCCGAGGCCTCGGCCTCATCCGCAGACCCGGTCAGAGAAGGGTAGGGTCTCTTGTGGTCCAGGTTGACGTAGGTCACCTTCAGACTGATGTAGTGTTCTCCCTCCAGACAGGACAGGATGTGCTGGACCTCGGTCACCAGGCTGTGGAACGAGGGTCTGCACTCCGGCTCCGGGTCCCAACACGCCAACATGACTGTGTACCTGTGGGGGGGTAAATATATATATATAAATATATACAGATGATGGACAGACAGAAATAACAGCTACATATGATCATAAACTGAAGAAATAATTAGATTAATTATAATGAATTACTATTAATTCTAGTTTTATATTTATATATGTGAATATAAATGTAAATATATATACAATATAGTGTATATATAATATATATACTATGGTGTATATATATATACATATATATATATATATAGACTAAGTGTCATATATTTGTTTTCAGTGAAGAGGGCGTGTGATATTGGCTGCGTGTTGTGTTCGTGCGTCTTACAGGCCGTCAGGACAAAACTGGGGCTGCGGGAGGCGACGGCCCTTCAACAGGTAGTGAGTGATGTCATACGGGTCGACCTCCGGATACGGACTGGCTCCTCTGGTTAACAGCTCCCACAGTAAGATGCCGTACGACCACTGAAGGACAAGACGATCGTTGACGTGGAGTGAAGTTACAAAGCTGAGGTTCGTGTGACGCCAAACTGAACTCACCACGTCTGACTTGGTCGTGAACTTCTGAGTCTGCAGACTTTCTATCGCCATCCACTTGACTGGCAGCTTGACCCGTCTCTGATCCTGGATGCTGTAGTATTCCTTGTCGTAGATGTCCCTCGCCATGCCGAAATCAGCCACTTTAACGGTGAAGGTTTCGTCCAGCCTAAAAACGGAAAACAAACGAATGAACGAGTCAACGTTTCTGAACAGATATTTGCGATAGAACACACAGTGTTAAACATCAGATAACTTATTCTCCGAACTAATTTTCCGGACAATAAGTCGCACCTTTTCTTTTTCTTCATCCTTTGTCTGGGTTTGCGACTTATATTTAGGTACGACTTATATATTTACCGTAAATATATAATTTCACATGTTTGTTATTTTTACATTAACAGCCACTAGAGGGCACTCTAGGCTTGTTTACCAGTATCTGCTACTCCTGTAAGTCAGATTTTTATCATCCTTTGGCTGGTGCGACTCATACTCAGGTGCGACTTATGGTCCAGGAAATACTTTAATAAAGTGGAAGTTGAATTGAAAGGAAAACCTCAGTCTTCACTCACATGCAGTTCCGAGCAGCCAGGTCTCTGTGGACAAACTTTTTCTGGGCTAAATACTCCATGCCCCGGGCAACCTGGAGTCCAAACCCAATCAGATCTTTCACTGTTGGGTTCTACGGGGAATAGAAAGAGAGATAATCAAAGAACAGAATGATGCGATCATCCATCTCGTGGTGGATTGTTATCAATTATTAAAAGAAAAACCCAGATGACAAAGCAAATAGCTGCGGTGATCACTCTCTGCGGGTAATTTACCCTTTTCTCTGAACGGATAAAATGACGCACATCGCCGTGCTTCATATACGGTAGCACCACTAGAGGGAGCCCTTCTTTAGGCAGCATGATGCCCAGCAGAGAGAGGATGTTGGGATGGTGGAAACCCTTCATGATGATGCCTTCTCTGAGGAACTGGTCCACCTCCCCCATGTCTGTGATCCCTGGGTCAAACACAGACATCAGACCAGGACTTTTTCACTCAGTAGAAACCAGTGGAAACCTGGTTGGTTTCTATGGTGAATGTGGCTCAGTACTCACTGTTCAGTGACTTCACAGCACAGTGGATCTCCTGCTTTTTGCTGTCTATCAAGTGTCCATGATAAACTGTCCCAAAGTGACCTGGAAACACAGACGTCAAGGACTTTTAGGGAGGACGTGAAGAAAGGAAGGACGTGAGGAAGAAGCGAGGACGGAGTCGCACCTTTGCCTATGATCTGGGCGTACTCAATCCTGAGCATCTCAGCAGGGATCAGCACGTCCTTCACCTCCTCCAGCAGATCTGAGCTCAGACTGACCACGGACATGTTGTCTCGTGACACCAAAGGCATGGCCAGATGATCGGCGCTGGCCGTGTACAGCAGCCCCTGGAAGGCCATTCCCCCCGAACCGGATGTTTGATACGACACGTCTGGAAAACAAGTCAAAAACTAAGAAATCACAAGCTGTAATGGTCGTAGCTGTAGGGATGTGCGATATTAACTTTTTGCCAATATCCGATATTCCGATATTGTCCAAACGTTAATGTCCGATTCCGATATCAACCGATACCAATATCGCGGGGCAGTGGTGATTAAGGAAGTGTCAACTGGTCCTTGAAATTAAAGCAGTGATAATGTATGTAATAAAATGAGCTGCAATGCTGCCACCTAGTGGCTTTCACTTTCACATACAGCTGTTTTTCCCCCAAATCTTGTTTTAGGGCACCCAGAGATTGCGTTATCAGGTTTTCATTAGCGGAGAAAAATCTCGTAATGATTCTTACAGATATTACATAATTATGCTAATATCGGTCGGCTGTTATTATCGGACATCCACATTTAACTGACTTCAGGTTCACGGTTAAAAAGCCTTGAAATGCATTAGTATCTTATTCTGATTGTTCAATTCAAACATTTACCGCCCTCTGGTGTCATACCTCGTCGATAATCACCTGTTGGTGACAACTCCCTGGCGGAGGACATGCGACTCCGGGACAACAATGTGGACAGGCGGTTCTCTATGATGGCTGTAGGGACACAGTCGGAACGTGCAGTGATGAGGCGTCCACACAAACCACTGCACCGCAGTACCAGTTCCCTCCACCTGAGTCAGTGCTGGATTTTTCAGTACTCACCTGTTTTCTTCTTCTTCAGCTGGAACATCGCGACCAGAGCCAGACCGGCACCGAGGACCAGGGCGGCGATGATGCCCAGCACGATGCCCACGATCACAGTGGTGTTGTTGTGATAGGCTACGGTTCCCACATCGTACGCCTCCCCGTTGACAAACACCTGCAACAGTGGAAGAGGTCAGAGCTGGGGGTCAAACTGTGGTTCTAATAAAAAAAAAACCCTGGGACTCGAACCATCTTTATGTTGTTTGACTGTAAGGCAGGCGACTAACCAGGCGACTAACCACTTAAAAATGTGCTCTAACGTCATCCAACTTAATGTTTAATAGTGAATGAGTGAAATTATTCTGATTATTTTCCAGAACCTTCTCGACCCAACAACACATTTCAGGTTTTACTTTATTTTTATAAAATACTTTTTCATGTACAGTGATGAAGTACTACTGTATCTTAGTAGTCGGTACTTTACCTGGACAGGTGAACCCTCACTGGGGATGACCAGTCCTTTAGGGATCCTGCAGGTCAGCTCGTTGGACAGAACCTGGACGTTACAGTACACGCCGTCGATGGTCATGGTGATCTTCATGCACGAACTCACCGTGTTCAGTTTGCTGTGCTGTGAGAGAAGGTCAAAGGTTCAATTATCTACACCAGCTCCAGGTTTGGGAGAGGATTTGGAAAAGGCCTGGACTTTGTTCCAGGTCCTGATGGCGAACGCTGTAACGAAACGTGAGGTGAAACAGAATTATGCAAACGTACGTGCAGAGAAACTTCGGTCTCTCCTGTTTTTAGAAGTAATTTCCTTTCATCATTTTCAAAGGGAATGACGTTGGCGTCTGGATAGTAGTCAAAACGCTTCTTCCACAGATTGTTCCTTCCATCCATGTGAATGGAAATCTCTCCAGAGTCGGATTTTTCCTCTTCAAAAGCCGGAGCCCAGCACTCCATGTGTGTGGCGTTTCTGCTGCCGCTGCACTCCTTCAAAAATAATGACGTAAAATTATTGACAGAAATGCATCGGCTTCACAGAGAAATCAAAGGAAAAGTGAAAATCTGTGTCTTCTTTAGCATCATGGCTACAACAACAAAAAGAATCAAACTCATCTGGTCAACATTTTTTATTACAATTTTGAAAAGAATCGGATTTGACTTACGTGTCCAAATGATTGTGTCAACGTATTTAACGGGTTTCTGGGCGTGTACTGGACAACTACTTTGTGGGCGGAGTCAAGATTTTGACCTTGTATGACCAGTTTGGAGCCACTGCAAGTCAAATGAAAAAAACAAACAAAAACATACACAACAAATAGTTACCGTATTTTCCAGACTATAAGTCACTCCAGAGTATAAGTTGCACCAGCCAGCTAGAGTGCCCTCTAGCGGCTGTCAGTGTGAAAATTGTATATTTTAATATATAACTCACACCTCAGTATAAGTCGCAACTTATAGTCTGGAACAGAAAGTGAGCGGAGCTTTAACATCATCGTTACTTGTTATTTACAAAAACTGAACTATTTTTTATGTTTCAGGGAAAGGAAGAAGTAGAGTCGCAGAATCTGTAGTTGAAGGACTGATCCTGATACCGATACTGTACACATTGGTATCGGATCATCACATCTTCCTACCTCCTGAAGCTGCAGTTTGGTTGGACAGTGTTTATCACCGGGTTCTTTCTGTAGGAGAACGTCTTGGAGGTGGTCACCCGAAAGCCGTCGATAACGACTTCCACAGGAACCGACTCTATTTTTGTTGCAGACGCCGTGCGGCAGATGATCGAGGACAGGGTAGCGCCCCCTTCAGACCCTTCAGACACGCTGTGTTTAATACAAATCGTGTTTTAACAAACAGGAAAGTTGGAAGAAAAGTCTACGTCCATTTAAGGACGTCCGCTGGACTCTCTCACCTCTGAATGCTACACTTGTTGTTAGCGAAGAAGACGTCTCTCCGTACGCCTGAGTTCAGGAACCGGCCCGTCAGATTTACCGTTGTTCCTCCGAACAGTGGCCCAAAGTCAGGACTGATCTCTGTTATACTCGGTTCCTGATTCAAAACAACAGAAAAAAATATTATATTCCACCTCGGAGTCAGGTTTAATAATTCCACCTCCTCCTGTCATATTTCAGGTTATTCTCACCACGAAGGAGAATCCGTTGCTGCGTGCCACGCCGTCGATGGTGTAGGCCCCCCCCGCCTTCTTCTCATGAACTTCCAGTGTGATGTTGAGGTTCTGTTGTGGACTTTTTTCCAGAATTTTACACACTAACCTAGAATTAAAAACAACATGATAACGCAAGCTCTGGAAAAACTTAAAATAAAAATCTAAAAACACATTTCTAGGTGAAAAATAGTTTTTTTTAATTATACAATAATCAGTGTCAGTTACATAAAAAACAAATCAGAAAATCTAGAGATTTATCAGAAAGGATGAGTGGATAAAACATGATGAGATAAAATAAACATTTATAAATACGACAGAAAATGTGTTTCTGTTGTGATGACCTACTTTCCTGACTATACGTCGCAGCAGTGCCCTCTAGTGGCTGTCAGTGTGAAAATAAACTATATATTTTAATGTATAAGTACATGGACCTGAGTATCAGTCGCTAACCCAGCCAAAGGATGAAGAAAGGTGCGACTTATACTCCAGAGAATACGGTACTCGGTGCTACTTACACTCCTCTGCTGCTCTTCTTAGGCTGGATCGTGCACACATTCCCAGAACCCACTGTGATGGTGTGGGTTTCACCACTAACGACAGCAGAACTCAGAGGAGACTGAAACTCCCAGCCACACAAGGTAACTTCTGTCTCACCACCCACAGGGGCCGTTTGAGGGAAGAACTGAAGATAACAAAAAAAAATTAAAACGTAACCATATTATCGTGAATTGATTCAAAATCAATACAAATGTGTGACAATTCTCATCACGTCGGTTGTGACCCAGTAATAAATCAAGACGTCAGGTCTCTACGCATCAGTGACTGAAACGGTTCTGTCTAAACATAGCTCTCATGCGTTGCGTTACATAATTAGCTACAGTTAGCCGCAGCTAGCGGTGGATGTACCTCTGTTATGATCGGTGCACAAGAGTCCTTGTTCCACTGTGAAGTGCACTCATGCTGCCTGGAGCAGATCCCTGAACACCACCCACAGCTCATGAAGCGTGGTGCTGTCAAACACGCCGAGCATGTTATAAAGTGTGCACACCCTGGACCTGCAGAGGGCACTCTAAACATCTACATGAGGGAGGAGATCAAGAGAACATCTGGTAAATCACAAATAGAAAAAAAAAAAAGAATAAATGAGGAGATGGTTTACCTCGTATGAAACCATGTTTTTTTACCTTATTTTCAACCACAAAGAGAAGTGAATCTTCTGGATACACAGCTGCGGTCCTCGACACCGCCGTCTCCCCCAGAGAGTAGTTCGCAAAAACCACAGGTTCTTGCACGGTAAGAATCACCTGCGATGGTGAGAAGTTTTTTTTTTAGTCAAATATATATATAAGAAATTAACACATATAACGGCTTAGGCAGTGGTTGTGAAACCATGGAATGTCTATCAAAGGTGGTACTTGGGCTCCCTCTAGTGGTACGTAGGGTTTTAAATTTTGTTGGAACAGCACTGAGAAAACCGTGAAGGTAAAATTAAAGGTTCAAAAATACTGCAGTACTGGCCCCAAACGGGAAATGTCCGCAGGAGAGAATCAAAATCAAGGGAGAATATTACAGCGCCCTCTGCAGGTAGGAGTGAACCAGCTGAACAGAGCATTTATATATGTGTTTTCATCGCTGTGTCTGTGCCTGATATACAGTTTAATATTGTTTTATTGTTGGTAATAAATACTTTCCTTCACGTACTTTGCACAGCAGTATTTGAACAGTGATCAGACTTGGAGTAATTAGAGAGAGACTTTTTAACGTACCTGCAGTATTCGTCCATCTGAAGTACCAAAGTGGCCCAGGGTGTGGCTCCCTGTGATGGTCACCAGGACAGCCGTGAACAGGACGTCTGTCATCTGTCTGTTGAACAGATCCACCCTGTAGTACGGCTGCGACACCAGGGTGGGCTGGGCCGTGCACGTGTCGTTACCCTCCGAGCTCTGGGCAAAAAAAAAAAAAAAAAAAAATGTTGTCATGTATTTTACATTTCATGACTCCAGCACACACAGGGTTAATGATGAGAACACCCTGGGGTGTAAAAAGGTAGACGGCAGAAAAAAAAAAAAAAAAAGAAAAAGAAAATGTGCGAGGAAACTTGGTTAAATCCATTTAGGGAGGAAGTGCTCTGAGCTGCACCTCCAGTCATAACAACAGGATATAAAAGGTCCAGGATCGTAAAAACAGCTGCGGCTGCGGCTCCATATGTTGAACACAGAGCACGGACACACAGCCGTGTCTCTGAGTTACAGAGAAGGGAACCCTTCAACCAACACTGCCTTCTTTTCTTGATATTATTTCTGAACTCACACAGATTTGTTTTCAGGAACTCTGAGCGGCGTCGTGTGCTGAGCTGCTAACACCCATAAAAACCTAGCGCTGAGTTGTAGCCGCTACTTGTAAAAGCATCAACGGAAGTTTAGAGCTGTAAAAAAAAGAAAAAAGAAGAAAAAAAAAGAAAGAAACACTAAAGCTGAAGTGTTGATCTAAACATTTCCAAATGTGAAGAACAGACGTGCGACTAGAACGACGCCCTACAGAACAAAACAGGTTTGGTTAGAAATGAAAAAACTTAGTAAAAAAAAAACCTGAATTTTTCCTGAAGAGAGTTTTTACTGATGTTGGTGTCATTTAGTCATTTAGGATCAGACAGAGCTGGAACTTCATGGTCATAATGTTATTGGCCTTGTTTAAATAAAGAGGTGGGGTGGTTGGGGGGGGGGAAAATACCACAGGGAACACCGTTGGTACTGTAAACTTTGAGGACGCTCCAGAGATGATTTAGATCAGGGTTAGATCACGATCAGGTCAAACTGATCAGAATATTCTTTTTGAACACCTTTTTACGCCACAGTTCATCCAATGATCAGTCAGTACAGGTGACGACATTTGAACACATTGTGGGAAAGTGTTTTTCACTGAGCGTAAAAGTATCATCAACTTTAACTTCAGTTTTTTCTTATCACCGAAGTGACAGGATCGTAAAAGTATCATCAACTTTAACTTCAGTTTTTACTCCCTCAGAACGAGCTCTCCCCTACAGAGGGCGCTACAGTGGATCTCCATATTATTATTATTATTTTTATAAACCCACAGTAAACAAAATAAACCAGGTGTTTTCTCTCTCACTCAGACAGAAAATTAAAGAGAGGGGTTTTTTTTTTTGTAGGTTGATTACGTCTACACAAGAAACTGGAACCAAAACAAAACCAGAAAATCAGTCGTTCACGACAGCGAAGGCAGTAGAATCCGATCAGAAGACGTTTGTTGATGAACCACAGACCACAGTGACTCCATCAAACCATTTCTAACTAACAATTACATTAATGAGTGTGTTATTAATTATTATTCCTCCAACTTCACATCCATTTAATCCCAGACTGAAGCCTGTGTTCCAGCCAGGTGCGCAGTGATACTGACCCTTTGCCCCCCCCCCTCCTCCCTGAATTCCACCTTTTTATCAGCAGGATTTATAACTTTGTGTTTGTTGGCACACATTCCTGCACAGAACTGAGCAGCGTGAAAGCAGACGACCACACCTTTATTATTTGTCCACAAGTGCGGAGAGAACGGACGAGGATTCAACGTTTGAGCCTTCACTCAGAGCAGGAGGAGGAAGAAGAGGAGGAGGAGGAAGAGGAGGCAGACGCTGCTCAGTGACATACACACACACACTGAACCGCGGTAGAAAATACAAACCCCAAAAAAAGACGTGTTATAACTGGAACAAATAAGAAGGTTTACGCTCAGTGGGAAATGACGTGTCAGTGTAGGTCACACGTCTGACTCACCCACCTCTCCCAGGTTTGGTACCTGGTGTACTCACACACACACACACACACACACACACACTCAGCCGTGCAGATTTACTCAGGTCAATGTAATATAAAACTATAAGTTTAATGATGAACGACGTGGCCTTTTACACACATTTGTTTTTCTGTATTTGTCACTTCCTGTCTGGACAGATGGGACTTTGTACTATTCTTAGGCTCCACTGAGTACAACACACACACACACACACACACACACACACAGACAGACAGACAGAGCCACTCACCTCATGAGGGCAGCTCTCACACAGCTGGAAGTGACACAACCCTCTGGACAGCTGCTCGCTGCCGGAGCGACAGCACGCCTCCACGCCACTGTCGATGGCCAGGTTCACTTTGTTCATAGGGAACGCGCACACGGCCGAGTTCCTCCCGGGTCGACCGTTCTTGTCCACTTCTGCAAACACTCCGTACAGAATGTCTTCCCTCTCGTCGACCCCCAGCTCCTCGGCCAAGTCCGTCCCCGCTCGGCCGAAGTACGCCGCCTGCAGCCCGTTGTACACGATGTCTTTGAAACCCTCTCGCCGCCGCCGCCGCCGCCTCCTGCGCTTGGGTTCGAACTTGCACTCTAGCACCACCTCCCTGTACATCCACACCTCGGGGATCAACACGGGCAGTCGGCCCAGGCGGGTCTGGAAGGCCGAGTTGCTCCTGAACGGATCTTCTCTCTGCAGCGACAGGAAGTAGACGTAGTCTTTGGTGGAAAAGCTGTAGATGTAATTAATCCTGTAGGAGTTCTGCAGCGCGGGCAGCACCGTCAGCCCATTAGTGACCATGTGGAAGCCATCTTCGGTGGAAAGTGGCCTCATTACCGAGATGGACCTCCTGGGATACTTCTGCGCCACAGTTTCATCCACAGACGCTGCAACAAAAAACAAGGAGGTGGCTCCCTGCTCCACGATGATGGCCTCGGTGCCGGACGGACTGGCCAGACAGTCTGGACAGTCGGTGGCCGAGTTCTGCTCCTTCTTAAATAAACACTGAGGCTCAGGTTTCTCAGCCGTAACGTCCACGAAGTGACAGATGCCGTGTTGAGTGCTGCCGCAGATGTACAGGTACGGCAGAAGATATTCAGCGGGATCCAAGAGCAGGACCTCGTTGTCCGTGTCCAGCAGATCCTCGGGATCCGTGTCAACGTTACACACCCAGCAGGTCTCGCAGTCCGGGCTGTCGACGGGTCCGGTTCTTACTTCCCATTTCTTGTCCAAAGAATAGTTCACCGCCTCGATCACATTCTGACTGCCAACATACACCTCCGGTTGGTGCTGGTCCCAGTGAACCACCAGGTTCTGCACGGGTTTCTCTGACTGGAAGTAAGGCAGGGAGTATCTGACGGTGAAATCCACCGGCCGGCGAGGAGCGGTCGGACACGCGTGCTGCCCCCGGGCCACGTGTGTTCGTATCAACATGCATACTGTCAGCAAAGCAGCCCAGGTGACCATCTCCACGTCACAGCCCACCGTGGTTGAACGCTACCTGTGAGACACTTCTCTGGAGTAGAACATTCTGGATCGCCAGCTGGAGCACTGCCAGGGAGGACAGACGGACAGACAGACGGACAGACGGACAGACAGACAGACGGACAGAGAGACAGACAGACAAGGAATGTTGAGATTTTACAGGAGCACAGACTTTAAAACATTCTAGCAGAGTTTTGATGTGGTCTTCACTGAGGACAGTCGACTCATCTGTAATGCAGACAGAAATGTCTGAAGATAAATCAACTGTCGTCCTAAACTGACGTAAACACTCGGTAACAGAACTGCCATAAAAACCTAAAGCTCAGGAGGTAATAAAAAAAAAAAAAAAAAAAAAACAGCTTGTGAAGACTGGATACAACCTACTGAGGGCAGGACGTGACATGCTGCAACCTGTGGTGCAACTGTGGAAATGTTCAGGACACACGGACCAGTCCCGGGGAAACACAGGTTCAACTAAGAGTAATGTCAAAAAGTAAAGAAAAAAAAATATATAAATATATATATATATAGGAGAGAAAAAAACAGGGTATAAATCCGGTCCGTACTGGTCTCCGGTAAGTTAGGAGTTACGTAAAAGTTAGCTCAATGAGAATATATCATGTAGTGTGACAAACATCTGAAGAGGTAAATCAATGTGAAGTCATTCATAAATGCAGACCAGCCCCAGTTTGATTTAAACAAAGTCCACTCACCGCACCGTCCACGGTGCTGAGTTCTTCCGGTGGCTGTAAAAGTCCGGTCCGTGACGTCCCCACAGTCGGTCCACTCACTCACCTGACACAGCTGGAGTGTCACTGACATACACTTACACTGACTGACACTGAACCATCCTCGACGGCGTCAGTTACTGTGGCTGGAAAACGGGATATCACTGTCGCCTTCAAAATAAAAGCCGCGTAATAGTTGATATGAACACGAGTGGAGGAAACGTTTCGTTTCTGGGTTTTTTTAAAAACCATTTCATATGTCAAATCATATAAAACGGTTTAAAATTTTATATACAACAGCTCATCAAGGCTACTACAAAATAATTAACTTTATTTCTGAATGCTTCCAGTGTGTCTTTATTTACTCTCTTACAACAAATCAAATATATAAACAACAAATCACACGTTTAAACATAATTTTCTTATTTTTTAAACTTTTAGAATTAAAAAAAGTGACAAAGTAGAAACATAAACTGAACAGTGTCGCCACAGGTTTTATGTAGTAAGTTTATGATGTAATAAATAAAATGAATATTTTGAAGCCCATTATTAAAACAATTAAGTCTAACCTGTGTCTACGGCGGTTTAATGAAACGAAGACTGTATGACTTAATTTGACGATACAAAAACCGGAAGTGAGCTGTTTCGTTCTAACTTGACAGAGTTAGTCCTAAAGTGGGCGCCGTCACGTCAGGCCGCGCCCGCAAAAAGGAAGTATGACACGGTTGCGAAATCTGGCACTTCAAAAAAAGAAGAGGAGAGAAAAGATGGAATAAATAAATAAATAAATAAACAAACAACACACACGTCGTTTCCGGTCCACAGACACACCGGAGCTCCGAGTTCACCGAGGCGTTACCGGACGAAGTTCCGTGGAAAAACGAAACAGTGTAACCGAAGTTGACGTGTATCGTCCGGGAGTTTGGCCAAAATCACATTGTTGTTGGATTAGGTATGAAATGACTCTTGAACCAGTGACCAGGCAGCGACGAGTGGAATGTTTTTTCACTTTCCACTCGATTAAACACGTTTAAAGCCGTGATGAAAACAAATGGAGAGTAAAATGTGAATTTTATGAGCCAGAAACAGGATTAGAGTTCAACACTGATCTATATATGATGTTAAATAAAGTAACCACCAAGTCTTAGGTCAGAGGTCAGCGACCTGTGACTCCAGAACCACAAATACAAATAAAAAATTACAATGAACACAGTACATATTATATAAGCTTTTTGATTTTCTTTTTTCTGTGATGGAGACACTGTGTCCTCGTGTCCTTCACTTGTCCTCCTGTAAACAAACCTACAAACATGAAGATGTTTTTCTTTGCCTACAGCTGTGTGTGGGGAGGTTTACTGAAAACGGCCTCCGGTAAATGAACCACACGGGGGCAAAATGAAGCTGAGGTCATCGCAGGTCAACCTGAGTCCTCACACACACACACACACACACACACACACACACAGCTACTGCATCAACAACTACTTCACAAATCAATGTTTTTATATTGACAGTTTGTATTACTGTCACTTTAGGGTGAAAAAAAACCAAAATAAATGATTAAAGGAAAAAGTGTTTCTAATATATAAGGTATTAAACATGTTTTTAGTGTGAATAATGAATCTACGCCAGTTTAAAAATGGCAGCAGTGGGAAACACAAACATCTGATGATCAGAGTCAGTGACAGAAAAAATAAATCAATGAAAAGATAACATCAAGGAAATGAAATAAAAAACCACAACTCCTTACACTGGGTGTTAATAACATCTACATTAAATTCTACAGACAACAAACAGTGTTTTTATAACTGTATATTTGAACAACGAGACACTGTTCTTTTTTTATCTCTTCCTGTTTCTCAACAAAAGGAAATGATTTGTATGAATGAATGTTTTCCACGAGCATTTGATAAAAAAAATAAAAGAACTTCTGATAAACTCATTATTATTTTGTCTATTCATTAAGTTGACTTTAAAGAAGCAATAAATACATTTAACATGAAAATATTTTTTAAATGGAATGTATAATTCTTGGTCGCCATGGAAACACTTAAACAATAAATATGAACAAGTACAAAAGTCCATGATGAAACGAATAAATACGAACAAGTACAAAAGTCCATGATGAAACAAAAAATAATATTGAAACTTTTTCAAGATAAGTATTATTTATTTACACTTATTAAAGTTATAGGTGCTGCAGAAATCATAGGCACCAATTAATAAACACCATTAGCGCCACCCTGTGGCTTACTTTTTTACGACTAGATTGTTGCCATAATATTGTTAGGAAAAGAAAAACGAGGCTAAAAAAAGGTGAAAATCGCTGCCATTAGCATTGAATTGTATTTCACTATATAAATACGACAATAAGTTGTGTTGAAATTAATCACATTTTCACCCGAAATTCAACAAAAATCCTACCTGTTCTTGATCGAAAGTTACTATTATTCCTTATTGAGTCTACTAATATATAATTATAATTCCACAACGTTCACCTTGACCAGGAAATCCAAATTTGTCAGATTTTACAGTTGAAAAAAACCCTCTTTATGATACACTCATTTGTCGCCATCTAGTGGCCAGTTTGAAAACAATCTCATGCTTCAACTACCAACACCAGAAACGAAAGTGAAATATTTTCATTCAAAGCTCTGACTCGTCCTTGTCTGTCAGTTCGTGAAGTTCTTTCGGTTCTTTCGGTTCTTTCGGTCTCTCTCCGGTACAGAACCGTTGGTACCTTTCACTGCTGACGTCACTTTGTCCTGTTTATACTGGATATACTGTGTTGGATTTCTGCAAGGTCATCGTCATGTCGAACCCTGGTGAAATCGATGAAGGATTCTATTCCAGACAACTGTAAGTGACGTCATGGTTCGTTACAGACCAGTAATGTTGTGGCCGACACACAGACTCACCTGGTCTCCGCAGGTACGTCCTGGGTCATGACGCCATGGAGAGGATGGCCACAGCCGACGTCCTCATATCCGGCCTCGGTGGTCTGGGAGTGGAAATAGCCAAGAATGTGATCCTGTCTGGAGTGAAGTCCGTCACGGTCCAGGACCAAGGCCTCACGACGTGGACGGACTTGTCCTCACAGGTACTGACACCTGGTACTGACACCTGTTTACAAACAGAAACTCCTGAAGGGACGCATCTGTGATGCTGTCATTTTAGTCACGTGACTCGTTTAAAATGACTGGAATGAACAGTTTGATGTGAGTCAGGAAATGTTTGACATTAGGAAATAACAGGGTTTTTTTTGGATGATAGAAATATTCACATTTAAATGGAATTAAAGTGATACGTTTGTGTGTTTTATTACAGATTTGACATTAAAACAACTTCACCGTCAAGAGTTTCATTTTGATAAAGAAAATTCTGTCACATTCGTTCAATAAAATCATGATAAATCTTTTAGATAAAGTTGGGGTTTTTTTGTTTGTTTTCTTGCAGTTTTTCCTGAAGGAGTCCGACCTCGGTCTGAACAGAGCGACGTATTCCCGCCGACAGCTGTCCACCCTGAACCCACACGTGCGCGTGTCAGAGTACACTGAACCAGTGGACGAGGACCTGCTGCTCCAGTTCCAGGTCCTTGAAAATAATGTTTTGTAAAAGTTTTCATCAAATGAACTCCACTGTTACAGTTTAGTTATTATCGCCCGACCGCTTCTGTCCTCTAGGGGGGGCATGGCAGAAAATAATTGATAAACACTGCATTAACCCATCACCTTAGTGAACGGGCCGCACTTCACGTCCTCAACCACCAGGGCACCACTGCGTCGGTTGATATTGGAGTCGGAAATTAAGTGTTTGGACGATATCGATATCGATATTCTCTAAACGAACCCTTGTTTAAAACTTTCAGGTGGTCGTTCTGACCGACTCCTCGCTGGACGATCAGAAACTCTTCGGTGATTTCTGCCATTCGCGTGGGATACGGTTTATTGTCGCCGACACTAAAGGACTCTGTGGGTAAGTGGGAAAAAAAACCAAAAACCAAAAGTGTCAGAACTCCATGAGGTCAACGTCCAGTTCTGAGAAACAGAATTCATTTCCAGACAGTTGTTCTGTGACTTTGGGGAGGAGTTCCAGGTCCTGGACCAGGACGGAGAAGCTCCGGTGTCCGCAGCAGTACAGAACGTCACCAAGGTAGGGTCGGGGGTGTTTTTAAAAATATATACAGTATATATTTTCATTACATTAAATAAATTCCCTACTCATTTTTTATCCCAGGGAACGTCGGGAATGGTGGTCTACACCGATGAGAAGCACGGACTCCCTGATGAAGCCATGGTTTCTTTCTCTGATGTTCAGGGAACAACGGAGCTCAACAACCAGGGACCTGTTCACATCACATACCTCAGTTAGTGTCGCTGCGTTAGGATCATTCCAGTTCCATTTACCGGTAGTTTAATTTATGATGAACTCCACCTTGAAAATCTCCAAACTTCCCTGAAGAATTTAGAGAAGTTCATTCAGGGTAAATGGAAAATTACACACATTTTACAGTGCACTGCAGGTGTGTGCAACCTGTGGCTCCCGGGCTTTTAGATGGACCAAATGTGTGGCTGATTTCTGTGTCAAATGTCACAGTGAAACAACATGGTGTCACTGCTCTCTTCAGTGGTGCTTCAACATGAAACATTCTACATGTTACAGTGCCACCTATAGACCAGATTATTTATTCTACCTTGTTTACCCACAGGCCCTCACTCCTTCAGCATCGGAGTCACGTCGTCGTCAGTGTTCGGACACAGTGGGACGGTCACGGAGGTCAAACAGTCGCGCCGACTCAGCTTTGTGAGCTCCAACTCCAACTGATCTGTCAAAAAAAAAAAAAACTGGAAACATTTCTATCGGATGATTAAATGTCTGCGTTTCATTTTTACAGAAACCTCTTCGTGAAGCTCTGCTGGATTTCAAACCTTTGACCACGATTGACTACGTGAAATGGTCGAGACACGAAACCCTGCACTTGGCCTTTCAGGCTCTTCACGACTTCGTGAAGAAACATCAACGTCTCCCAGGGATTCGCTCCGAGGTTGGTGACGCCCGGAACTGTCCAGTAGTCTTCACTGCTGAAATTCTTCTTTTTCTTTCGGCTTTGTCCCTCTTTTTTTCAGGAGTTGCTACAGCAAATTATTGATTGAAATTTTTTTTTGAATCAATACGACAAAAAATTTTTGAAAAAAAAATTGTTTTGAAAATTTTTTTCTTGAAAATTGTTTTTTGAAATTTTTTTTTTCTTTAATTTTTTTTGAAATTTTTTTTCTGAAATTTTTCTTGAAAAATTGTTTTTTGAAATTTTTTTTTCAACTTTTTTCAGTAGTTGCTACAGTGAATCATTGATTTCCATCTCTCCCTGTTCTCTGCATCTCCTCCTCTGACTCCAACTATCTGCATGTCCTCCCTCACTGTATCCATATATCTCCTCTTTGATCTTCCTCTCTTTCTCCTACCTGGTAGCTCCATCTCTAACATTCTTCTACCAATGTATCCACTGTCCCTCCTCTGCACATGTCCAAACCATCTCAATCTGGCTTCTCTAGCTTTTTCTCCTAACCCTCCTGTCTGTGTTGTCCCTCTAATGACCTCATTCCTGATCCTGTCCATTCTTGTCACTCCTAAAGAGAATCTTAGCATCTTTAACTCTGCCA